TAAAGTCTACCTTTGCCTCTGCTCCTGTACCAGTCCTGTGTGCCCCAATCAGTGGCTCTTCATGCTTGCCAGGTACTCAAGCCAGAAGCCGGCTCATTCCTGACCCTCACCTGGTCTGCCACATCCCATCCATCACCGGTTCCCTCAATTCTGCCTCCAGAATATAATACAGACTCTCTCCATCTCCAGTGCTACCATGCACTTCCTTTCCCTACATTGTTGCAACAACCTCAGTCATTATCCCTTCCCTCTGAAATCCATTCACCACATCGAAGCCAGAGTGATATCTGAAAAAACGTCAGTTATATTGCCTCACTCCCTACTCTTTTCTTTTCAATTATAGATTCACCATAAGAGGCAAAGAATGTACAGGCAGGTCCCGTACATCCTTCACCCAACTTCCCATAATATAAATCCTTCAATGACTTCTTATTGCCCTGTGGATAATATCCAAAATCCTTATTCTGACCTCCAGAGCCCTTGAGATCTGCCCCTGCCCCCACTGTTCACTGAGCTCCCCCACAGTGTCCTTTCTATAGTTCTTCAGTTGAGCAAGGATCTAGGCCTACCTCAGGCCTTTGCTCCCAAACTGTCTTCATTGCCTGGACCCTTCCTTCCCCACTCATTCCTGTTTCTCTGGGTCAGTAATTTCTTTATCCTTTAGGCATCAGCTTTTTTTGTGCTTTATCTAGTTTAGCAAGCTTTCCCTGACCATCCATTCCGAATGAGATCTGCATCATAGTCTCTCTCACAGCACCCTGTGCTCCTCCCTCGTAGCTCTTGTCATCTGGAATGTTTGTGTATGTTTAACTTTTCGTATCTGACTCCTTCTAGACCTTAAGTACAATATGGGGAGGGTTTTGTCCATTTTTCCCTGTCACCCGAGCCGAGACCATTATCTGTACATTGTAGGTACTTCAGATCAAATTAGAGAGCCGTCTGCATGTTAGTCTGTTTCTATCAAGTAAAAAAGAAATTGGATCATCCTGAGACTCTTCTGAATTTCAGCCTCTTCCTTTCATTCTCCTCCCCACTCCAATATCCATAAACTTGTTCTATGCACAACCCAATTACAAGAAGGGCACTTAATTTCCTCTTTGAGTTCTCTTCAATAAGAGATTGTGACTGGTAATTCATTTAGCATACATTGAAACCTGAATGTCTACTGATTATGTTCCAAAACACCAAGCTTACTGTAATAAAGACAGAGAAAATATGTCATCTCCCAGAGAGAACCTGGAAAATGATTATTTCTGGTGGAAAACTTGTTTTGTCTTGTAGACTTATGCTTCAGAGTCGTTCATGAATGAGTAATGAACTCAGGAGAGATCAATGAAGCATTCTCTTAACCTTCTCAACTTGTTTTGCTAAGAACTGAATAAGAGGAAAGTTACTAGAGGAGATGATTTAGGAAGAGAAAAATATGGTTGCTGTAATGTACAACTCTTGAAAGAAGGAAATTGGGCAATTCATCTAGTTTACTATAGTAGTTTTTCAGGCTTCAATCATGAGTCACCTAAGCAATTTTTTCTCTGCTCTTTAATTCCAGTGTTTATTTATTTTATTATTTTCCAACCATGAAGTGAAATAGCATGCAAAAGCCAAACTACTTTTAAGAGACGAGGCAGTTAAAAAAAAAAAAAAAATGTGGGCTTTGCCTTGCTATATGACACACAATTTTAATCTAATGCCATAAAGCTTTTATTTTCTCAGGGAATTATTTAAACTGTTTAAAATACTCTCATCTCTTTTTCCTGATGGATGATGAGTCACCCTCTGTAAAGTTTTTAATGATGTAGAATAACTGCAAATTAAATAGCACAATCAAAACCAGGCACTGAAAATATTGGTGCAGGCAGTCAGTGGCGCTAAATACCATGGCATGAAGTGGGTGATAGCATGTGTTGTTTGAACAGATTGAAGAGTGACTGTCTCAGACAGACATTGCTTAGTGACTGGTGGGATGACCAATGTCTAAACCTTCCTATGTCTGTGACATACGTCAAAGCCTTTTAGCCCCAGCATCATACCCATCTGCTAAGGGAGAAGCAGCCCCTGCCCCAGCTTCCAGGTCAGCTTATGTGAGGAGTGCTCAACCAACATCAGGCCTAGGGAGACAGGTGCCACCACAGACAGGTGGCACTCAACAGGTGCCACCACCTGGGATATATCACTCTAGTGATGGCTGAGCAGCTGAGTTTCTCATTTTTTTGTTTGTTTTGCCTTTGCTTTTGCTTTCTAAATAATTTTCTTGTAGGCTGCACATCAAAAAGCATGGTGTTTCCTTATCACAAAAGTTCACAGGAAGTATTTGGAGGCAGGAGAGAAAAGAGTCAATAGACTTTTTAAACACTGACACCCATGGCTAGGGGAAACTTCAGAGGCTATGTGAGAGGTTTCTGTTGAACTTGTAGTCCCATCCCTCATGATTTCTGTTATTTCAGGAAGAGTCCGTCTCCAGGGCCTCCTGCTGAGATGATGTCAAGAGACTGTACTAATAATGCATGCCATCTTTCCTTTGGGGAGTTCCAAATTCTTTTTGTATATTTAGCCAGAGTCAAGAGTAGAGACTTCTGTTCTTTTCAAGGATAGCTGCCAAAAGGGAAAGCCATCTTGCTGAGTGATAAGAGAACCCTTTAGGAGGCAAATATGGGCACAACTATGGCGACCCGTCACTTGCTGGGTGCTTTTTGTGGGCATGCTCCTAGGCTGGCCCTCCAGAAGAGTGCAGAGAAGGAAGTATTCCCATCCCCCGAGGTATCCGAGGGGACTCCTGGGCTCCAGGTCTTCCTCCGGCTTCTCGCCTCTTCCTGCTCCCTCCAATGTCCTCACCAAGAGATGATCTGTGGGTATTCTTCTTCCCTCTCTTGGACTAATTATGTGACACTGGAATGCCAGGACATTTGGGCCTTAATTTACTGGAAACCAGGGGGAAGGGGGAAAGCAGTAACCCCTTAGATTGTCTGCAATAACCTGGACATTGACCGACTGGCTCCCTCGTCATCCCCTTCAGGGAAGGAGAGGGCAATTTGGAAACAGACATAGGCTGAGGGCCAGACTACGGTTGCCATTTGCAGTTCCACAGACTTTATGTTTTTTCTTAAATCAGTGTGATTATGTCATTTATGGGAATTATTGAAGTTTCTCTTGTTTATTTTCCAGTACCTTTTGCCAGGCCCAGAAGCAAATCTGACTTATTTCAAATCTGACTTTCCTTCCTACTTTGCTGTAGTGCTTCTCCATAGAGTTACCCTTGTGATTTTAAGGGAACTTTTCCTCACTGTACAAGGGCTCTTCCTGATCTTTGAAAGGTTTTAACATTCCCAACCTCAGGCAGTAAGAGCCGATAGTGATCCCCCCTCATGAATGTAAAACAAAGAAACGCCTCTACTCAATTCCAGACACTCCTTGTCTTTAAAGTTCTGCTCAAATTTCAGTGGGAAGGATTCCCTAATGGATTCATTCATTTAGTGTTTACTTTGGATATTTACCAAGCACCTGCTAACAGTTCTAGGCACTGTTTGACGTGCTACTGGTCCACCAACTATTAGTTGTCATTCAGACCTGCATCTTCTTAACACTGTCCTACCTTAACCTTTTCATTTACATGTTATTTCATAAGTGCCCTCAAGTCATCCCTGGATCTCCAGTGTGACTTCCTACATAGGGATGACACTTCTCCAAGGCAGTGGCTACTTACTGTGCTTTTGTTTTTGTCCCTCCTGGAGCCCAGCACCACTAGTATCTATACAGTAGGAATTCAGTAAATGTTGGACTGACTGAACCAAGGACATGAAGCTCCCCACCAAAGGTGTATTTCATTTCTACAATAGGGTTGATAATGCTGATGTGTCATTTTCTTTTTCTAATATGAAGATTCTGTCTGTTTTGTCTACTGTCTAAATGGAATGAGGAATAGCATAGGAAGCATTTTGGTGTCCCTGGTAAGCAGTAAACTTGACATGTGTAACATACATGAATTTTATGCACTCTTTATTTCCTGGTGCATCCTAAGTAAGCCTTGGTCTTACAGGCCATGTTTTGATCCCCTCCCAATTATAACTTCTGAGACAGAGAACAGAGTATGACCTTGGCCTTTTGAAGTGTCAGAGTGCTCATTGATAGAAAGCCAATGTACAAAATTATAGAGAAGGCAGACAAAAAGTTATTACAAACCTGAGAGAATCTGATGGAGAAATAGTGGCCTTTTTTCTTTTCTTTTTCTCTTAGTTTTGGTAGTAGGAAAAGTTTCAAAAACATACAAAAATGCCCAGAATAATATAATAATTCCCAGTGTGCTCATCACTTAGTTTCAACAGTTACCAACGCAAGGCCATCTTGTTTCATTTATAAAGGCCCGCCCACTCTACCTTTCTTCCAAATGTAATGTTTTAAAGCAAACCCCAACATCATATAATTGTACCCATAAATATTTCAATATGGATCTCTAAAAGATTTTTTTTTTAATCACCCCAGTGTCATTACTATGTCTTCAACAAATCAATAATCTCATAATATCATCACATTTCCAGTCGGTGTTCCAATTTCTAATTGCGGTAACTTTTTCGATAAATCTGAAAACTGAGTCAAAAATTACACTTTCATTGAGAAGGGAGCCACAAAGGAGCCAAGACAGATTTTTTTTTCTTACAGGAAAGTAGAATAAAACCGTGGGAAAACAATTTTGGAGAATAAAAGTGCAACAGCTCTGATCCTCTCCCCTGGTCTCCAGAGACTGGTCTAACCTCACCTGCCAAGTACTCCGTGCCTCCCCGTGCTCGCCCCCTGGTGGCAGGTGTCCGCTTTGGGGGAGGGGAAGGGCTTCTGTCAACTCTTCCGGAAACCTTCATTTCTTAACATGATGGGGCTCACTACTATGTTGCTAGTAGTTTAATATTTGGCCGCATGGCAAAAATGTGTGACCGGATTTTTTAAAGTGTTGATTGAGTACAAAATTTAAAGTCAGAATATTAAATAAATATCTCTGCCCTTCCTTCCAGCAGGCAGCCCAGAGAACAGCTCTCCACGCTCTGTCTGACAGGTACATTTTGTCATTTTTATGAACTATAAATTGCTTTATGAAACATTGAGCCCTATTTATTGTGGCATATAATTCATAATCGGATTTTGTCCCTAAAGTATCTGTGAACTGGGATGTTAAACATTTTGCATGCTTGGATTTGTCATGCATGTGTGCAGTTTATTACTGTAAAAATCGCCTTGTAGTATTTCATAGAAAGTATGAAGAATCCCTTGTTGTGCAATGAAACAGGAGACAAGTAAACTTAGAGGAAAAGACCTGCATGGAGCAGTAAATTCTGAACTTTGGAATTGGTGGAGATCTAAGCTCATTTTTCAGCAATAAGTGCTTCATTTATTTTGAGGTGTTTTCTTCAGACTTTTTCCATAGTGTTTCATCAGGAGCTGTCTGTCTTTTGATGAAATTCTCTCTTGAAGTACTTCGTGCACATATCCCAGTTCATGGTCCCAAGTGCCTGACTTTTTACTCCTGGCTTTGGCTTGTGTTTTCGGACTTGTGTTATTGAACGAGATGTATAAACCTAGTCAATAAACACACTCAAGCTGCATTTCACATCCTGCTCTGCCCAAAAGGCTGTGTGTGAAGAGAGCTGAACAGGGACATACAGAGTTCCTTTCAAGAACAGACCAGATCCTTTTTGTTTTGGCTGGTCTTTGAGTTTTCATTTACTAAGATTGTGGTGTGTGTGTGTATTTCTTAAAGAACTGTCAGGAGGTGAAGAGGAAGCCCCAGTTGCTGTCCACAAGGGAGGTTCTTGCTGTGTTAGAAGCAGCTGGAGATGTTCCCCTGGCTGGCTGGTTGGGATGTCAGCATTATCTAGCTAACTGTTACCACCTTCCTTTTCTTCTCAGTTCCTTTTATTTTTTTTTTTTTTGAATGAACAATAATTGACTGTGTCAACTAGCTCAGTTCAGTGCTTCTCCAAGACAAAACCTGTCACTTGGGCAAATTATCTGTGCGCATGGGTGAAAAGCATTTTCTCTATTGTGGCAGGCTGAGTATGAGTATTTTCACTGCAGTTGAAAAAGCCTTCCCCATGACAACCACACAAGCTTGTGTGCTCTGAGAGGGGCCGCCACATGATCTCCTGGAATTGCTTCTGGGATTTTCACAAAAGCTGACAACTATACTACTCCTGAGTCTGTTGGTAGGAAGGACACTCTGGATCAAAACATTGAAAATCTGACACATTAATTCCTTTCCTCCACATGTTTCTCTGAGTAGTTAAGTAAGAGTTTCCTCCAACAAAATGCACTAAAAGCCAAGTAAAGACCCTTCGTTTACAATATTATGTTATTGCCAATGATTAGAAGATTTCTTTTGGAGGTATTGAAAATGTTATAAAATTAGATCATGGTTGGGGCACCTGGGTGGCTCAGTGGGTTAGGGCCTCTGCCTTCGGCTCGGGTCATGGTCCCGGGGTCCTGGGATCGAGCCCCACATCGGGCTCTCTGCTCCGCAGAGGGCCTGCTTCCTCCTCTCTCTCTGCCTGCCTCCTTGCCTACTTGTGATCTCTCTCTCTGTCAAATGAATAAGTGAGATCTTTAAAAAAAAAAAAAAAATTAGATCATGGTGATGGTTTCACAGCCCTCTGCTAAAAGCCATCAAATTGCACATTTTTAAATGGATGAGCTTTATGGTATATAAATGATATTTCAGTGAAGCTACATATATATAGACACAAAACCTCATTATGACCTTTGGTAGAATGAATCAAAACCTACTTCAGGAAAATAGGGAATTCCTTTTAACACATGGCTGCAAATACAAAGACTAGAACTAATGCATTCTAAGGCTGCTTCCCAAAAGATACATGATTCTGTCCTGGATAGAAAACATGCATGATTTTAATGATGAGCAGTACTATTCCCCTTGACTTTTTCTGATACTATATCTAAAACCCCTCATCAAAACCAACAGTTAGTCAACCAATAGTTAACATCTTAGCCCCTGTTGATTGTATCAGTGCTAACAGCAGAATACTATGAAAAAAGAAGTCCATTCCCAAGAAACAGGTTCCCAATGTAATCTCTCTTCTTATGAATTTCTCCATCTTTAAATGTAATAGAGCATTTCTCCCTTATGTCTAAAGGTTTTTCTGTTCAAAATTGGGGGAGTTTGGCTCATTTTAAAGGAGCTGACTTCGCTGTTCTAACAATGCAGTTGTGTATACCTTCTCTCTATTCTGTTTTCCACGAATTCAGAGCCACACAAGTAATTTCCAGAAGTGAGAAGTATCTGTAATCATTTGGAGATAGAATTTTAAATCCTTTTTTAAAATAAGGACTTAAAACACCTACTGAGTTCATGGGATTTATATTTTCTATTTTCTTAAATTAGGGAATGCTAACTTACCAAGTAATAGACATCATTTTCTAGCACATTACTTATTCTGTTGAGTAAACCAGTACTTTTTAGAAAATGATGAATGTGACTCTGGATCACACTACAGCATGTCTCGCCCAATATCTACCTGTCAGAGGGACCACCCCAGCATGGCAATGGGATTAAGCAAAAATTTCCCAGGGCCCCTGGGCAGCTCAGTGGGTTAAAGCCTCTGCCTTTGGCTCAGGTCATGATCCCAGGGTCCTGGGATTGAGTCCCACATCGGGCTGTCTGCTCAGCGGGAAGCCTGCATCCTCCTGTCTCTCTCTCTGCCTGCCTTTCTGCCTGCCTCTCTGCCTACTTGTGATCTCTCTCTGTCAAATAAATAAATAAAATCTTTAAAAAAAAAATTACCCCCCAAGTCGTGACCTTCCTAAGGTAGAGATCTTACCCTAGTATCTCTGGCTACTCGGAACAGGGTATGAATCTATTCTACAATCAATGACATAAACTATTCTGTTTTCCTGAACTATTGTTTTCAGCCTGTTATCACTTCTTGCTATAAAATTCCATTTTGATGCAGCAGCACTTTCATTTTGTCCTAGAAAGTGGGAGCACTTTTCAGACCTTAAAAGGTGCTTTCCTGAGTTCTGCAGTTGGACAGAATAGTCCTTGTTGGCTCAGGCTGTGCCACCATGGACTTCTTGTCTCCTGTCCTGCTAATCTGTTCACATGTGGGCCCCTTTCACTTCCAGTTAGCCTTATAACCACTTTGAGTACCTGGTGAACACAAGGACATTTGATACAGGAGTAGAGCCATTTTGTTTCAAGATGTGAACTTGATGATGACCTTGGGTTCATTGGTAGGTATGAGCATATACTGAAGGAAGTCAGGGGCTGTTCTCTGCTTCCCTGTGAGAAAACCTGCATCTAAGTCTTAGAGACCTGACCCAATGAGACAAGTTATAAGAAAAAGGGTTGGCCTTTCCCTTTTCATTTTAATGGCAGGTAGAAATCTTGTCTCTTTGGGGTATCTGAGATGAGAGAATATCCAGATGTCTTTTGAAGCCCAATCTTATCTATCTTTTCATTTCTCTAGTTTCTTGGTTTAAATAGACATTCCAGCAGAAATCCAGTATCTGACAGTTAAGACTGTGCTTTAAAGTTCTGTGCTTACAGCAATCAATGGACAACCTTGATAAATTCATACTATGATATTTCCATTACCTAAACGTAAAAATCTTCTGTGGTCATCTCCAATGAAAACCTGTGGCCTTGTTCAGTTTTGCCTGAACAATGGGCTGAATTAATGGTTCCTCCAAAATAGCCAGAGTGTTGAGACTGGATCACACCAGGAAGGCAAATGTGGACTTCAGCCCAGCCAGCTTGTGCCACCCTGCAGTGACAAGAAGCCTTGCATGAGGGTAGAATGGCACTGTTGTTCTTTCCTACTGCTGACTGTGGAATTTTTCATCTGTTTTATGCCTTTGAGTGTCAGCTGGCCTACCAGAGGCCCACTGATTCCCCAAATCATGAAAAAAGTAGGAGACCAGGGCAGGAAGAGGTGACAGAATTCTCAACAAGGTCAAACAAGCCAATTATAAGAAAACCTCAATCTACAAAGGACACTCCTTTCTTACTTAGTCACTCCTTAGAATGTGCCTCCCAGGTATTTTTTTTTTCTCCTTATGTATTATTGTACCAGGCAGGGTAGAGAGAGGCAGAGGAGAATAAGGATAAATGGGCACGAGGCTCATTTATAAAGGTGTGTCTTTGCTGTAGACTCGCTGCACTGTGAAAGCTGCCACATTGCTGTAATGTGGAAAATATGCAAAGTGCTGTTCAGAGAAGGAAGGGTATGCGTGCAGCATATGAAGTGCCTCTGAATATGATTAACTTCACCTCATAAGTAGTAAATAGTAGATAACTGTGATCAAAAAAGGGATTCATGTGATTTATCAAGCTGAGCAACTGTGCATTTGCAGGGAAGCTGGAGGTCAATCTGGAAATCTAGGGCAAGAGGAGCACTAGGAAATTGCCAGGACTAAGAAGTTAATCATACCCTTGGACTGCTTCCATCTGTCTCCGAGCGACAGAGCTGCTGCAGAATGAGCAGGGATGCTTTATAGCAGGAGATCAGGAATTAATATTTTCTGTGAAACCTCAAGCATCATTTGCAGTAACTTGGGTTTTATAAAAATGGAGCATAATTTCATCTGAATAAATCACATTCAGCTGGAAATAAGAGGAGCTGGGGGGAAAAAAAACTGTGCCTGACTTAAAAAAAAAAAAAAAAAAAAGGAATGAGCAAGAAAGCCAACATGAAAACAGTTGTTGAAGCGATGGCACTTGGAGGGCACGAGTGGCCGTGTGGTTAAATTGTGCATATAATCATCTTCTGAAATGTCAGTGTGTGACTCCAGAAACGGCTACATTTTTATAGCCTTGGAGATGCATCACCAGACTGTAACCTGTCTGCCCATCTGGCAATATCTCAGGTCCAAGATCCATTTATATTGAAATCCAAACAACTGCCATTGATTGATTCACTTGTGCCACGAGCAGTTAGTGAGCACATCCCGCGTGCTCAGCCAGGCGCAGAGCTGGGGCAGAGACACAGTGGTGAGCAGAAATGGCGTGCACCTCTGCTCGGGGCTTTACCACGTACAGTGATG